CGAAGATGAAGTCTATGCTACTGGTGATTCAAATACCACTAGCCAAAAGGGAAACGGGACACCTCAACATCTCTATAAACCATCGGGGAGGGATAATGGAGACTGTGTGCCCCACCCATCAAACTGACCAGATCATCCGATCATAAACAACCAGGAAAGAAAACCTTCTTGAGAAACAAATACAAAGTACAAATAATGTACATGCGAATAATCCTGTTTCAGAAGTTGAAATTTCAACTATTCCAGAATATCTGGCAAAATCAAACGCAATTAAAGATGAAGGTAATGCTGATTCTGCTCTGACCAACCACGGAAATTCATCAATCAATGCTTTGGACGAATGTAACGATCCTACGCCACATGATAAAATATATGATACTGATTCTTGCTCAGTCAGTCACACTGATTTAAAAAATGATTCCAACAATCACAAGAAAAATCATGTCGTGTCTGCAAAATATGGAAAAAAATATCATAAAGGTGAGTTCTGAGATTTTATTCCTTCCATTCAAAATAAAATTAATGAAAAATAAGACATACAATTCGTTGAATCAAAGACCGAAAGCAGTTCCAAAATAAAAATTTTGCTATCGTTTGCAGTTTTTTGAACTTAGGTTTGAAATTATAAGATTGAATCAGCTGTGGAAACAAACAAAGACTTTGATGCATCTGCTATTGTTGAGGTTTGTAATCAAAGAAAAGAGATTGTTACGAGATCGATTATATGCTGAAAACGTTCTTAATTGCCCCGTCTCCAATTCATGATATAAAATAGCAAATTTTATATCTGAGAGCTTGCTTAATGAGAATTAATGATGAAAAATTGACTTGGGAAATTGTTGCTCACTTGAGAATTTGCCAATATATATCATTCGCCCATGCAGTTAACGTTTCCAAATAAAATTGAAAAAAAAGCAGACCAAGCTCGGGATAAAAACTAGCCTCGCATTAAATGTTAAATGGATTGATAGACTCCATACTGAAATGCATCTTTTTATTTTTATTAATTCTGTATGTACCATGTGTATTTTCGGCATGTGAAAAATAAACTGCTGATTGACTGAAAAATAGACTATTATAATTGAATTTTGTATTTTTGTTTAGGGCAACGATTTCTTCTCGAATAGAAAAGATATTTACGAATTTAACTATGAATTGTCAAAGATGAGTCAAAAAGAGAAAAGGGAGTTTTTATTCAAAAGTGAAGTCGACTCATACGAGGTTAGCAAAATATTGTATTACAGACCAGAAGTAAAAATGTACAGAAATAAGAGTTATTTTGCCAAAATGATGGTTCAGATCAATACAATTGCAGGAAAATTATTTATTTTATTTTTCATCAGAATTTGATTAAACTAGAAGAAGAAAGAAAAAAAATTTCCGAAGAAATTGTTTCATTCAAAAAATATCGTGGCAAATCAAAAAATTCATTTCGATGGATTCGGAAAGCCATTCAAGCTAAATTTAGACCTGGTTTGAAAAAGGAGGACAACTTATTGAAATTTAAACTGGAGTCATTGTTGGCAAACATTCAAACGAAAATACAAATAGAACGTGAACGAAATAATGAATTTCGAAGATTTCTACTTCTGTTGGAGGACACAGAAGAAGGAGATATTCGGAATGTTCGTAACTCTATACTAGGGCTAAAAAGCCGTATAGCTAGGAATTTGAAAAAAGTGACACAGGTTCGAAAACGGTTGGGCAACAATTCAGATGTAAACATCGAGCCATTTCAATGTGCTTCTGGATTCCATGGCACAGATATTCGCAAAGAATATTCACTCCAAATTAAAAACCCAGTCTCGACTTCAGCAGATGGATTTCTTCCAAACTATTCTAAGAATGAATCTTACTTACAAAATGGACAATTCATTTTGTAATCATTCAACAGCTGGTGTTCTACTTACAAATTTTGCATAGCATGAAATTTCCCACATATATATGTCAACTCTTTTTTATATTATTTGATAGTTCCATTCTGTCAATAAAAAATTTATAAATTTTATTGATGGACAACATAAAGTTTGATATGTTAGTCTGCTTCTGTCGCATATATTCATTGGACAAACAAATTAATGAGTCGTACAAAATAAAGAGTCATTTGAGAAATTTCCTAAAATAACAAAAAGGTCCTATTTCCAGTGTCACTTATGCCTTCGTGCACCATAATTATGTCAATTGGCCCCCACGTAAGAGGTAACTAGAGGGCTATATCGTAGCCTTTCCTAAAGAAATCTCAATTAAAGAAGAGTATTCAAAATTAGGGCAAATAATAACATATTTACGAAACCCATGCTAAGCATTGATTGTAAATAGACTAACAATAAAAGATAAAATAAAATTTACGTTTTTAACTAGAATTTCAGAGTGGGTTTAAATAAAAGTTTTTTTTGAGCGCTACTTGTATCATTTTGTTTAGAATTTCCAGTATTTGTAAACTTCAGGGAGACTTTGTTTCATTACTGACCAAGTTATGCGCAGTGTAATCTACATTTAGGCTTATTTAATTGAACAATGTATGCAATATTAGTTTTCAATCTACACAAAACGTAACTTTAAACCAGAATTGACGTCCAGTTCCAGAAGCATAGTTATGCTAACTTAGATTCAGTGGGCAATCCCATAGCTGATGTGCCTTCGTGCACGTCGATGTAGTTTTCATTGTCCAATTTGGTTAGAGTTGCCAACATCAACAAATTTCAAGAACACAGTGACACACATCTTTAAGTTTCAACAATAGCTTCATAATTTACTGATATATTGATTCACTTTTATGTTTTAAAGAACTTTTCATGATGCTACTCAGAAAATTGATGTGCTTTTCAATGGTATCGGGGATGGGGAACATTTTCAAATGTCTAGGTCGAAATTGTGTTTTACCACGGCAAAAAAAACTACGGATCACAGATAATTAATCAACGTTTTCATCAATGCGAAGCTTGCTTTTGCGACTAGTCTTATAATCCTTGGTTTGCATTGTGTAGTTTTGAACATGAAGCCCTTGTATCGGGGCTGGGATCGATTTCCTGTTTGTCATTGTAATCGATTTTTTGAAGATTTGTGCGAAAACACGAATGCTAATGCGTATAAAACGTTATAATTATACAGCAAATCTTGCCATGGTTTCAAAAGAGTTTGGAAAAAAATTTCACTCGAATTATATTTTCGAACGACTTTCAACCGAATTATATCATATTACCATCCATCTACATTCTCATTTCAGTAGTCGGTGTTGGCGCAGAGCCTTGATTAAATCTTAATTGTGGAGCGCAGACTCTGCCCACATAGGGTGTACTGATGGCCAATACCAATACTCTCGACGACCAGGTTGCACTCCCAAAAAGACGCGTACTATCGCTGTATCAGCATAAGATGTTTTATTTTCTTGTGATGTGTTGCAAACAATGTAAAACAATACGAACAAACAACGTAGTACGAACAACAATACAGCAGTACGAACAACAATACAGCAGTACCGTTTTCTGAAATAACATAAAAACAATAAATACACAAATAATAACAAGATCGGGGCAGTAACGTAATGTACCAGTAACGTATCAGTAGGCCTATACTATTGTAAACAAACCCTAAATATCTTTGTTACGTCACACAATCACCTAATGACCAACTATGGCATCACTAACGGTTATAATAAATAAACACACAAATTACCTCTGCCGGCACTTTCAAGGCCTGACAGGAAAACAAATACAAACCATGTAAAACTTGAATACAAAACTATATGTATAAACGTTGTGTCCTCAAGAGTCGTTAAGCATTTTACTAACACTACAAGCCTAAGTCGTTCACTAATTAATCAATTATAAACCCTAAAATAACACCCTCAGACCGACGTCAAAACAGCCATCAGCCAGAAACTTCCAGAATCCTGCAGCGCGCGCGGTCCCCTGACGTCACTTCCACAAAGTCATTGTGGTGCAATAACCAAGCATTCGATAAGCTGGTCCATGGCGCCAACTTGCGGGAGAAATGATTTTACTTCAAGATATTGGCGGTAACAGTCGGTAATTTTCTATTAAATTTCGCTTTTCAACTGACAACTGAACGTTATCAAATAGGCTAACGCTTAGCACGATGCGCCACACCGCCGAGCCTAGGCGGGCAGTTCAGGTGAATAGGTGCAACGCAAAACGTACCAACGTGCCAATTCAAGTGATATACATTAATTCTATATTTTAAATTGTTTCCCATTGTCAATCTAAATGTAGCTGTGCCAACATAAAGTTGAAGTTTACAAATCTGTCTACCGAGCGAAAACGTTCGTTATATGAATATCCCAATTGTTTGCACTTGCATAATCCACCCACCGCGTGCGTAATGCTTTCAACACCAGAAAAGGCTTTGCGTTTTGCGCCTTTCCTTTACTGGCGCCACCCTGAATAGCTGATTGCTTTGTATAGCCTATAACATTTGTTTCTTTTTCAGTTTTAGCACTCCTCAACTTCTTCTTGGGAAACATTGCAACCAAATCTTTGTTAGATGTTATATTGTCGGTTCTGACTTGCACTGAACCCAGGAGTTCCCAAACGTGGGTATATATATGAGAATAAGAATACGGTACTTTTAACTAGATTAGTACTCCATGTGACTTATTTTGCCCAATCACAGCAAAGACAAAACCTCCGATCTATTGCTACGAGAACCGTAGTCACAAGGACCATTAAATACGGTGCCCCCACTTACTAAACAACATCCATGTCTTGTCGTCATTTTGAAAATGAAATCTACAGCACCGATTGTCTTGCAAATCGATGACGGATTTCCAAAGGAATGTTACTAAACGCGTTTGCTGCATAAGCTTCATGAAGAATTGCTGAAATTTTTCCAACAAATGTGAAAATTTTGTCATAGTGATATTTGGTTTGCGATATCAAATGATTGCGGAACCCGCTATTCCGTCATTGTCTTTGTTTGCATTATTATGGTCAGTGCTGATTGGAATCAATTCAAAATAACAATAACACCCCAGAACATGATTTCCTTTGAGCTGTTGATATATTTCACCTCGTATCAATAAGCTTGTTGGTCAAAGGCAGGCTCATCCATCACATTGGATAAAATCTCTGGGCTCACTCAGCCGATAAAGAGTGCGTTATAAGCTTAGATTACATTATCAGGAAAGGAATAACTCTTGTGTGCTTTGATTGGTGCTAATCGGGAGGATTTTCAAACTGAACTGAACTAGGGTAATTAATTTTAAAGAAAACAATATAATGATTCACCCAAAGGAGGAAAATAAGATGTGAATCCGATCAAGTTGAGCAGTCAAAAATCTGAGAAATTTGGGGGCACACGAGTGATCTATAAATTGTCATAAAGGAACCAATGAACAGAAAATTTGGGACACTTTGCTCTAGTCTAGATTATTATCAGAGGAATGAGAAATAAAAATGTTTGTAGATAGCAAAACCATTTAATTACTGATTGATTGGGATCTACCATCAGTTTGAGTTTTGAAAATTTTTTATGTCATCGTTCGATGAATAATAAAATTTAACAATAAATATTACAAAAACTGCTTTTGCTTCACTTTTATTCAATAACCATGATATTCTCCGAGACTTATTTCACAATAAGAAGTGTAGAGCCTGATTTTGATTGCCCATTCCTGATTAACAAAAAACCCTTGTCAAAGAAATCGAAAGTTGGCGATTCTTATGCTGTTTCAATTAAAAATTCTAATTAGGTAATACTTGACTCTAGCTCCAATACCACACTCTTAAACAGGTTTGGTTGAATCTGAAGTAAATTTATACTAACCCTTTTCATGATATAAAAAACAAAGCTGCACTAAATATAATCTTTTCAATAAGAATAGCTTCGTTTCGGCGAGGTATTATGTTTGCTTTAGACAATAATGAAACAGCCAGCCCTTTTGTTCACTCATTCCCAAATTTGTGCATCTGCCACAAGTTGTAAGGCTTTGACAGCCAATTGGATATCTTCTGTGACGCCAATCCATGTAAAACGCTCCTCATTTCATTTTCCGCTTTGGTGTATCTTGAGAACATGATGTTCCTACCTTCAGCCTAAGTGTAATTCTGGAGGGCTTGTCCCAAAACAATGTTTTCTGCTTGAATCTCTGTATGTGTTTTCATGTTGAACACTGGATGAAGATGTTCTGCATTTTGACAAGCATAATTCAAACTGATCTTTAACACTTGTAAATATCATCTGAGAATATAAAAGTCAGTCTTCAAATTCTGAGCAGAAAAGGAATAGTACGGTAGTTATGAACACAATAAAAATTGAAAAATGTAACATGTTTTGAGGGTATGTTTCATTTAAACTCGAGTTACATTTGGTCAATTAGGATCAATCAGGACAAAAACTGTTTAACGCACATAGTTCAGTGATCTAGTTACCCTCTATATTTCTTTCGATGTATTCAAAATGGTTCCATTATGCAAGAGGGATGTATATAAATGAACTACTTCTGGGCATTCTGTGGATTCTAAGAATCTGTCCGAAAAAGTCTGGAAAGATCAATCCATTATTTAGAAAAATTCAATTTCAAGTACCTCCGACTATTTTGCATGGTGTGGTTACCTATTGGTCAGCATGCTTGCACTAATTCATTGGAGCAGAAGGTTCATTATTTCAAGTTCTAACTTGATGGCCACCATCTTGCTCTCACTATGTTTCATTTCAAATTTTGCTGTGACATATAATTCACAAACACACTTTCAAATTGAATTCACACCAATCAAATATTGCTGGTGTTTAAACAAGAAATCGCTGATTTCAAGCAAGAGATATTCAAAGACTTTATGTTGGTGTGACTGCCTATTCTATATCACCTTCTGTAAAGAACCCACAGCTGATCTGATGGTTTTCTCCAGAAGTTGCTTCTTGTCTGGTTGTAGACAGCATGACACACAATGTTCAAATATCATGCAGCAGTTGGATTTGACACAAGTGTCGCATGCATATCTAAAAAGAAGTGGAAAAACAATATTCAATGTCTCATTCAGTGGAAGCCAGACCTTGGGGCTAAAGCTATGGACTTTGCTATGTTGATTAAACGTTGTCTACAACCTCATAAATCTGAAAGAATTCTGTCTTCCCGAAAATATTAGCTCCTTACATATATCAGTGGATCCCTATTCAGGCAATATAAAATATGTATCAACAAATATTTTTATCATAATATCATTAGCCAATTCTCATTCTGAAAATTCCCTTAAAACGATCACTGTATATCATACTTTCAAGATCTCATTATAAATATTAATTTGTGCTATCGATTGGATTTCTACAAGACTAATTACTTAATAACCGTCTTCTAGGCTTTTGTGCTGGTGGATCCGTACGCATATAATGCAAGGATGCTGAAGAGTGAAGATGACTATCCTAAGTGATTCAAGAGTCTTACTGCACAGTCAGACAGACACAAATAATTCTATGATAATTCTAAACCAAATTCTATGATAGAGATATGTCACCAACCATACCTATTTGTAAAAATAGCGTCAATATCACAACATCCACGTGATTCAACATCATCTCTTCTGCAAACAAAACCTCTGTCATCTGCTATCAATTCTCGACCCTGCAACAACAAACTTTGAATTTGACCAAGATTGGATAACAGTAAAACTATGAAGCACATGAAAGTATGCAGTGTCTACAAATCCAAGTTTTGTCCCTATTTACTTTGAATGGGATTCAAACCTGTGAACCCACATAGGGTAATCAGAGGTGCAGTGGCAAGTGTATTCCTAACAAGCACAATGCGCCACACTGCCAGGAGTTATTTAATTACTCACATTATAAAATTTTCAACTTATTTAATTATGAAATTGTGCATAAACATAATTTATAATATCACACAGAATACACACACCTGCACAGAGTTTCTGCATTTTTGATAAACTTTTTCTCCAGTATCATCATATCTACTGCTGTTACCCCAGTTTTTGTTAGATGAATGCCACTTCAACACTCTGATGATCGATTCAGCATCTAACTTTCTCTCGTCTGAAGATACCTTAATATAGAAATATTCATACGTACTGGTCTAGAAGATCCATAAAATTTGAGGATTAACCCTAAATTGTGGCATAAAATTGATTGTTGTATTGCGTGTATAAAAATGCTGAAATATGCTTGGGAACAAAAATTTAAATCTATGTATAAAAAGTTATGACAGTATGACAAAAACTTATTTATACAGTAGTGTAATAAGTATAAGTTTATTTCGACTCCATAATCAGCATAACAATAAAATGATTGGTAAAAATATATAAATAAAAACTGATTACAGGATTATGAAATCGTCAGTAACTGGAGTCAATTGTCAGTAATAGTGAATTATGGCAGAAAAATATGGCTCTCAGTTAAAAAATAAAATATCAGACAATTGGTATGTTATATTGCTATGACCCGAAAGATGTAAAACGTAGGTAGAGGTAACTTAAATCACAGTATTACGGTATAAAGAAAATGAAAAAATTACTTCATAAACAAATAAATCTCAGATCCCATTAATGCAACCAATTGCGGTCAGAATCAATAAAAATCGAAGTGCATGGAAAGCCCTCTTTGCCCGAATTCAGAAATCAGAGAATTTTTCAAGACAGAAAGAAACCCAGTCTGCCAGTTCAGCAGTTACAGAGTTAGAGAGCTGGAGGGTTCTCACCTACCTGCAACAAGTTTCGGTTCCTATCTTTTATAAATATGTCTCGAGGTCTGTACGCCATATTATAAGTAAAATATATAATCGAAGAACCAAGTATCGCAGCCAATACCCATCGCTGTCTAATAAATCTTCTGGGACAAAACATGGCCAGAACCTCGGCAACCTCCCCAGTCCAGTCTGTCAGTCAGTCGCCAGCTGATCAGGGTTGTTGTTTTGATCACGTGACGATGAGTCTGTCAGTCAGTCGCCAGCTGATCAGGGTTGTTGTTTTGATCACGTGACGATGTGTTAAACAAGCTGACCGAGAATGTCACGTGAAAATAGGAATTTGAACCATTGACCCTCCTAAAGACACGTTCGTGCAGAACAGTGACCGGCAAACTATGGCCTCCATATGCGGTCCACGAACTAAGATTTTGGGGCCCTCGAACGACCTCACTTTCAATGCATAAAACAAAAAATTTGATTAAGACTGACGTCTGGGTCGGACGTGTTTTTGTTGCTCCGTTAGAATATGAAAGATCCAGTGGCGGCGCGTGGTCATTTTGACAACCGGGGCAAGCTACTGCGGGACCAAGTCACCCCCATCTACGGGGACAGGATGAGCGCTGTAAGTTCTCCCATCATTTTATGAGTATAAAAACCATTCCATCGGTAACAACCAATCGGCAAAAGCGACAATTTTTAACGATAAGAAAGTGTCTTTAAAACCGGTCCAAGTCAAGGGATTAATAAATATAGACATAGTTTATCTTGAAACCTCTTTCAAAAGAAAAGGCAATATTTACCCAGATAAATACAATGACAATGACATATTAACAGAAACTTCGGGAAAGCAGACAAAACCTAAAATAAGGTTTAAAACGTTACTATGAAGAAAGGAAAGTTAATGCAAAGATAAGGACATGCGTCGCTCACTCATAGATATATATGCTGCTAGACTTCTACTGCTTGAACATATATGCAACACGCCGCGGTTTCTTGGAAGCAAAATGCTCAATAACGCGCTGATTAAAGTCATGCATCCCAGAAATAACGTCTCTGTGAATGGATAAAACAGCCAAGGAATTTAATCTATCTTGCTTCATTGTGTTTCTGAGATACGTTTTAATACGCTTCAGCGTGCTGAATGTTCGCTCTGCGTCGGCGGAAGAAATCGGCGTCATGAAAATGATGTCCAGAAATTTTGCAGACGCCGCAAAGGTAGTTACTAGAGTGTTATCTATGAGGAACCCATAGAGCGCGCAAGTTGATGTGATGTTCAAAAAAGTTTGATTGGTGTATATACATCGCAATTCATTTTCCAATTTACCCACGTTTATCATGGGGTAAAATTTGCAGACAGTAGCCAACAAATGGATGGGAAATTGACGTGCAAATTTTGAAAAATTTTTGGGGGTTCATCAAAGAGAACGCGGCAAGGTGTTCAGTGCGCAGACGATCGCCTATTTGATTCACCAGAATGTCACAGCATTCCTTTGCAGACAAAATCAAACGCTGCGTTGTTTGCCCGCGGCGTAAAGAAGCACTTCATGTGTCGTCGTATTTTATTGTTTCTCGGATACGAGATACAGCATCGCAGAAGTCTGAAATACACGACTGCACAGACGCTCCATCCATTAGCCTTGACTGCAATGCGCCGTATAATACATCCACGTGATAGAATATTGTGGAGAAAAAAGCGAGAAAAAAAGAAAACTCACCATCTTCTAGCAGACGCTTCAGACCTGCCGCCTCCCTCACAGAGCGTTCGTCCCAAACCGGAGAGCTCTGAATGCCATTGAAACACTCAATGAGCTCAGACCTAATTTCGGACACGCCCTGCACCACGCGTGATTGGAAGTTCCAACGTGTTGGTGCACAAGCTGGGAGACGGCGGCTACATATCTGGCGAAGGAGGTTAGAGCGCTTCAGCGAAACGAAAAAAAAATGAAGAAAACCCCGAAACATTTGCAAAAAATATACGGACGAGAGTGGTATCAAGACACATATTTTTAGTAACGAGGTTAAATTGGTGTGCATAACAATGTAAAAAATGCGCATGAGGAAAATCTTCTTTTATATAAACTTGAACACCATGTTTCGACCCACTCATGATTGCCGCGCCAAAGGTTGTAAATAAATTTTATACATTGAGTCGAGAAAATCATTTTGGATATCCTCAGATGTCCCTTTCGAAATAGTTGCGGCATCAAGATGATCTCTCAATACTGTATCTAGGGATGCGGTGTATTCCACCATATCCAAAAATACCCCTCTATTAGAAGGGTTCATCGTGCCCACGGAGGGACAGCTCGTGACAACCAATGAACTTCAAAACATCTATCAATCGACCGAGAACATGGCGTTTTTTTCGACGTTTTGGTTGTGCCGACGAATAGAAACCGCGCGTCCTTCATCCAACTGTGCTGCAATATTAACATTTCCGAATGTTCGGTATTTTACTGCATTGTCCAGATGCTCCATAGAAGATTGATGACCCCTGGCACGCTCGGAAAGATGTTTAAGATCTCTAAAACCAAATTTACACCAACGTGAGTCACGGGCGGTAGCAAAAAGTAGGCAATAAAAACAAAAAAGTGCATTTTTGTCCTCGCTGTAACACAACCATTCGTGTTTTTTATACCAAGTTTCTGCGCAGAATGTACGCCGACGCTTTCCTCCGTCATGGGATTGTTCCAGTGAACAATTTTTTGGTTGATAATGCCCAAGACGTTGTACCTCTAATTTTTGTTCCAGCGGCAGCTGCGAAAACGGAGTGCGAAGTAGTGCATCAACCTTATTCATTATGAGGTCTAAGGCTAAGAAATGCGAAGCCGGAAAGAAGTGAGGAGCTCAAAAGGAATGTGGAAAATCGAAAGAAAATGGACTAAAGGTCTCTAACTGATTCAAATAGCGAAACAAGCGACAAAAACGAAGGCGAGCAAACTATCAACTCTTCAAGCAACCAACGAACGAGAAGGAATGCGTGAATAAGTCAACACGTTGTTGTAAGAAACGTCGGCATTGTGTCGTCATAATATCGGGGCTAGCCCCGATCGGCCCTGATGCTTTAGTAAAAGAAACAGAAAACAAACGAGACAAACGCGGCGAGTGGAAGATAAAAGAGAGAATACGATATACAATGAGCAACCGGGGCAAAATCGGCGTCGCCCCGTCGACGTTCGGCGAAGGCTTTGCGAGCGAAAAAAGAACCATGTCGAGAGAACATGGCTAGTGTAGACAGTCTGTGCAACCAATGACTCTAAACAACGTCATTTAATGTCATTGGTGCAACCGATATTGAGGTATTTTTCCAATATTTTTTATTATACCGAAAAAACAACCGGGGCATTGCCCCGGTTGGCCCTATTGACGCGCCGCCACTGGAAAGATCAATCAATGCTGTTGGACTGAAAATGCTACGCGCTGTGTGTTTCGGTATTTACTGTTGGATTGAATTTAAAGTTCGCGTTTGGCAGTCGTCGGGTGCGGTCGCATTTTTGAACGGCGCAGAAAGATTAGATTGACCAGCACTGAAGGAATATCAACAATTAAAGACAGAAATATGAAATTACATGGCAGCATAAAGGCAACGTACGGACATCATAACAGATTCAAAAGATGAATAGACCAGGGATTGATTCCGATATATACTTTATTTTGTGACAAAGAGTATGATATTGAATTCAGACTGTCAGCAGATAGGCTACTGCTATTTCTAGAAATTCCACTTGAATACTAAATGAGTATTCAACTATATATGTGTAAATAGTTTGTAGTGGAACTTATGACCATATCAATGCGCAACATTTTTAAACATTCATTTAATGGCATATTTTTGATTTGTTCAGTCTGTGTGTATACCGGTACTGTTTTAACAATGTTGGCCACGTCAATGTATCAATTAGGTTACAGACCTGCTCACGTGTGATTAGTGTTTTCCCTGATAATTGCTTTTATGAGTGTCCGCACACCGAATTTGCCGCCATGGTTTTGCGTTTGTTTGTATATATATTAAACCTCTTATCACATTTTCCGCAATGCCCAATCTAGTAATCAGTGTAGTTTTTCGTGGCTTGTTTTTTCTTAAAGCTTTCATGGCCTCATGAGTGTGACTGTCGTCGCAAATTTGTTACATTCCACTCCCCACATAATCTTTGCATGAGGTTGTAGGTATTGGTTATTATCAACGTAATTGTTGAAAGTACAACAGCCCGAAAGTTCAATACTATCGTGTATTTAGTTTGTCAAGTTTGGCCCAAGCCTCATTTAACCGGGCTTGTGTTTTTGTGTGCGTGCTGGTGGGCAGTGATCATGCTTTAAACTTTTTTAGAGGTTTTGCTTGCCCTCCAAAATTCTCCATTTTTAATTTATGTTTGTTATGAAGTTTTCGAAATAAATTATCTATCTAAAATTGATCCTAAATTTATTTTTGCCCCCACACGGATTTATGTCGTAACAAGTGCCGCTGTATCGCGCTGGTTTTGTTTTGTAGTAAGTAGCGTCGGTAGCATGTCGTTGCTTGCTGGACATGCTTAAAGTTTTAACTATCAGTTTATTTTATTCGAATTTTCATTTGGCATTGAAATGTCTGGGGAACGTTGTAAAGTTTGCGACGAGTGTCGAGCATTTCAAGGTGCCCGGACGGAAAAATATTTCTTTCTCGAGAATTTTAGAACCTGTTTGCCTGAAAGCTCAAGCCTGCATCGCGGTTATTGAGGAATTCAATGATAAACGTCATCGCAAAACCTGCTCATCTGTATGAAAATGCGAAACGTGTAATGTAAATGGAAGAATAATCTTTGTACTCACTTGTCATATCGTCATTTGAATGACGTACTGCAGGACAACGAAGTTGCCACTTTATTTTAACGCTTTGGCCAATACAGAAAAACAACGCCATTCTGAACAATATGGATCTTTCCCCGACCTTTGACCCCCGGAAAATTCTTCCTATACTTTACCATTGCAAAATTTTCGGGGCTATTTTAAGAGTGCTTTTGCGAGTTGGCGCCTGTAAAATGGGGTATGTATTTCAAACCATCATTATGATTCATCGCATACAACAATCTGTTTTTTAAAAGTACCGGTAAAGAATTTCAGGCTAGTCTATAACAGCTATTTCTACATTAATTTTTATTACTGCAATTAAATTAAAACTTCTAGGAAGATAGAGTGATCATTGAATTATCTGATTTTTATTTAAGTTCCCGAAACACGACTGAAAACTAACGAATAGAGTTCAAAAACGCGAAAACGAGGTTATGTTTACAACCACGCTTGAAAATCTGTCCGAGTGAGAAAAGTGTCTGAGCGGATGCGAAAAGGGGGCATTGTTACGTCACTTTTTGCATCTTACTGATTGACCAATGTCACAAAGTAAACAAGGAAGTCGATGCTCGGGGAAAGGTCCATAGGCTATTGTGTTTAATAATGATAAACAAGATATCAATG